TCAAGTTTGAATTTATGCTTAAATATCGAATATCGAATTTTATTCAAATTTCCAGGTTTGTAAATCAGAACTTTTGTTCTATTTCAGCGTTTTAATTTTAAATGATTTTCGAGTTATAAAACAAGAATTTTAAGTCAGAAAGTTAAAATTGTCAAATTTAAAATTAGAATTTCGACTACTCAAATCTGAGTTTGAGATCTTTCGACTTACTCAGATTTTTTTGTTAAAAAATTCAATATCAAAAATGTTCAGAATTCAAATCAACATTTCGATTTCAGTAAGAAATCTTTATGTTTATAATAAGTTATAATTTTGATTCTATTTTACCGTTTTAATATTTCAAGTCGGAATTTTGATTTATAAAATAAGAATTTTAATTTAGAAAGTCAAAATTCCCAAACTCAAACTTAAAATTCTGACTTTTGAAATCAAATTCACAGAATTTCGAAATGGAAAGTCAAACTTAGTTTTGGTAGAATTCTGGATATATCAGAATTTCAATTTAAAATTTCGAATTTTGGATAGTGGGGTGCAACAAGGCAAAAATAAAATCAATTTTTCAAAAATTTTATCATTTTTGTAGGACAAATGACAAATTAATAGATTTAAAGACTTACAATTGTCAAATTATGTTTATAATGTTTATAAATTGTCAATTAGGATATATCAAAATTTCAAATTAAAGCTTCGAATTTTGGGTAGTGGGGGTACAAAAGGGCAAAAAAAATGAATTTTTCAAAATTTTTATTATTTTTTTGGAGGACAATTGACAAATTACTACATTTAAAGATCTAAAATTTTCAAATTATGTTTATAATGTCTATAAATTATTAATCAATAATGAACTACCTCTAAACCTCCTAACTTAACGAAATAATTTTGGAATGAAATTTAATTTATTCATGAAATATTTATTTTATTATCTTTTACAATTTGTTGTACATTTTTATTGCCAAAAAACATTCAAGTAATTATTCGAAAAATCATTCAAAAATATCATAAATGGTATTCAATTCTGTTTTTTTAGACCAAATGTTCGGTTAAGTTTTACATACATACAAAACGAAAACTTTGCTATGTTGACAGCTCGCAAATACCAACCTTATAGCATTTTAAACATGCGTTGAAATAATGATAATAATGAACGCTCATTTGCGAGAGGATTTTTTTTTGTTTTTTCGAATTTTCGAGCAAATTGCCTAATTTAATGGCATTTGGTAATAAGTTTGTTACAAGTTTTCAGTTTTTCACGAGCTTCCACTGAATAAATACATCTGCAATAACCCGGTTTTGGCAGGATTTTTATAACTAAAGTTGGTTCATTCTCTTGAGACAATATTTTGTATTTTTTTTATAATCCCAATTAATTCCTTGTAATTTTTTAAAAAAAGGAAAAAAACACCAAATTGTTTAATATTTTCCACTTTAAACTCAGAATGTCGACTTGCAAAATAAAA